AAAAAAAAAAAAAAAAAAAAAAAAAAAAAAATGTTTTAAACTTTTTTAGGTTAAAAGACTAGAAAAAACTCATATAACCGAGGAAAATGAAACACACAATGCGAACTAAAATTTAGTGACAGCAAAATAAATAAAAAAAGTGAAGGTCCAACAATATTGTTGGTGACGAGAAAAAAAAGAAAATGCAAATTTTCGCTGCCTTACTAAATTAGGTCAAAAGCGCTGAGAAGAAAAACATGACTACTTGAAAAGTCAAAGAAACAGAAAACTAAAATTGGAGAAAGAAATAAAAAAAATCCTGTCGCTTCAAAACTTCTAAGGAAGGGAATTTTTGCCGAAAAAATTAAAAAAGAGTAGGAAATGGCACAGATGACAGAAAAACATGAAACCGATTAGGAGGAGGATGATATGTCGACGACGAGCAGCTGCACAAAATGGCAACACAAAAAAAGAAATATTTTTTACAGATCAGAAAGAGAGAAAAAAATACTGGATACATTTCTTCTCATTCGCAGATTATTCAAATATCCGACAATCATTTCTTTTTACGGCCAATCAAACCACAAGAATTTTATTTATTTATTTATTTCACTCTTTGGACTACATAAAACCGAAGGAGAAGAAGAAAAACAGGTAACCAGCACAACCAAAAGAGGAAGCAAGCCATCAACAATTTCTCAATGCAAAATTCTTCAAGTCTTTCCCTTGCTAATGTCAATAAAGTTAAAATTTTATTCACATCCGCTCACACAGTATAATACTTTCCAATTCTGAATTGAAAAGTGAAAACTAAAAATCAAGAGTATCAAAGCAACGAATTTTTCCATCAAAAATCTCAGCAAATTTAGTGTACAATGATCCAGTAACCTTGTCGTATCCACTGAGCAAGAATGTTGAAGACGTCCACATAGATATCAACAGACATGGGGGACTGTTACCCCATCAACAAAGTACACAAAAATTCGCTCGTGCAAATTTTTATCAAGCATAATTTTGCGTGTCTTACACAA